TTGACGAATTGTGCCAGTCCTTCCATCTGATTTGTAAAGCCTGAATCTCAGCTATCTTCCCATGGACTAGCCACAGTCTGTTAAAGTTGGATATCAACTCTCGCCGTTTCTCTGGATTTTGCTGAGCTTGGAGTCTGACCTTCTTCCATTGGCACCGGATATCGGTCTCCATGAACAGTTTTTTAAGTCGCCCATACTTGTTCAGTCGGATTGGTAGTCTTGTCGACTGTCCTGTTGCATCTCCTCTTCCAAATGACCCACAGTGTTATCTTCCTGATTACTACGAACCAGACGCGTTCCAATTTGTGGGAAAAAGAGAGCGGGCGTTAGTCCATAGGAGAAGTTGGATTGGGTGTTCGGGTAGGGAAGAAGCTAAGAAAAACGGAATGCACTGTCTATATCGTCCCCAGGTAAGGGAGCACAAAGCGAGGGAGGACGGAGGGCTGAGGAAGGTAACGCCACCGGAGGAAGGAGGGAGAAGGCGAGGGAGGGAAGAAGGAAGGAGAAAAGGAGGAAGCAGGGGTGAGGGAGGGAGGAGAGAGGGTCGAGGCAGGAATGGAGGACCGGCCAAGGGAGGGAGGAGAGAGGGTCGAGGCAGGAGTGGAGGACGGGCCGAGGAAGGGAGGATGGTGATGGTGCCTCTGGTACCTCTCTCTCTCTCTCTCTCTCTCTCTCTCTCTCTCTCTCTCTCTCTCTCTCTCTCTCTCTCTGTAGAGCACTGATCATGCACGTAGAGCACCAAAATACAAAAGCACGGATCCACGATGTAGAGCACTGATCATGCACGTAGAGCACGTAGAGCACCAAAATACAAAAGCACGGATCCACGATGTAGAGCACTGATCATGCGCGTAGAGCACGTAGAGCACATAGAGCACCAAAATGCAAAAGCACGGATCCATGATGTAGAGCACTGATCATGCACTTAGAGCATGTAGAGCACCGAAATACAAAAGCACAGATCCACGATGTAGAGCACTGATCATGCACGTAGAGCACCAAAATAGAAAAGCATGGATCCACGATGTAGAGCACTGAATTGCACGTAGAGCACACGCGCACATAGTACTGACGGCCGAGCACGAATCCACGCTGCAGCGAAGAGAGAGAGCTATGGTGAAGGGA